TTTGCTGAGCGCGGCTGGGCCGGTCCTCTCGCAAAAGGGGGTTTTTCCTCTCTCTCTCTTTTTTTTTTTTTTTCTCTTGTCCCGCGTTGCTGAGTGATCCAAAAGTTAAACAGCTTCTGGTGAGCGGCTGGTGGATCGCCATAGGCGGAGGCAGCATCTAACGATCGCAGGAACAAGCAGAAGCTGCCGGGTCTCTGCTTTTGCCACCACTAGTCGTACGTTTGACAGGTTTCCTAAAATATGCAAAAACACGAGTGCATTTGGGACCCCACAGACACACTGCCGCGGGAGAGAGTCCGTGTAAGAGTATATGTTAGATATGCTACATATGTGGGAGCTCACTGCAATTTATAAACTCAATTAGATCGATTTATTTTTGGTTTATACTTTCAAACAAGTATCGATACTTGTTTGTCAAAGTGAGTTACGTTGGGGCTGCTTTGAGTCAAACCCACAGGTTATGAGCTTTCACCCCAGAATTAATTACGTGTCACGAGGAAGTCTCCAGTCAAGCGCTGCCTTCCTTTCTCCATCTTCTATTTTGCTTGCCCCATGAGAAAGATGGTTTCCAGCACGTGCAGAGGAAGAGGCTCGTCGCCTTCGTTTGGCGACCTGGGCAGCAGCTGAGGGGGTGAGTCTGGGGAGGTGCTGTGCCAAAACTTCTCTTAGGCAGCTCTAGAGATGGATTTTTGTGACTTCAAAAAAAAATCTGATGTCACCTAGGGAAACCTCTGTGGGACTGTAATACTCATTTACAATTTACAAATTGTACCCTCTTGTGGCCATCCAATTCAGCATAGACCACTGTTCACTGCAGTTCTGATTCTTCCAGGGCTTTTTTGTGAATTGAAAACAAGAAGTTCAATCAGATTTCAGTTTGCATAGTTTGCTTTATGAAAATGTTGTGTTCGGCTTCTTTTCATTGGCCTTGTGTTATTTTGATATCGGTCTGAACAATGCTCAGCCCAACAATAGTGCCCACTTGGCAGGTTTTATCCCAGTTCTCATTATATTTGCCAAGGGCTTTTATTTTTTTAAATGTTTCCACCCCAGTGATCCCAGAAGAAAGGTTGGGTTTGAGGGCAACTTCCCATGCTGGAAAGCAGATGCGAAAGGAAAAAAAAAAAAACCACTCGGTTTATTTTTCCTAGAGTCATGAGTTAGAAGGCAAAAGTGTGTCAGGTCACATCTCAATTCCTTTTCTCCATTTCCAGAGGTTTGAAAGACTGTGTCCAGAAGGAAATATCTTCAGGGATTGTGAGAGACCATTCTTAACTGAGTTAAAAGGTTAGGCTCCCTTAGGTCCTGTAAATAATCAAGGACCTTGCCCTTGGCAGTGGTTTTGGCCCACCAGGAACTGAGTAATAAACGAGTAAATGGAGTATTGAATACAGTTTTAAACTCCTCATGCTGATAGGAAAGTAACTGCATATGGATCAATAGAATAGGAATAAGCCTAAAATGGGTTTACCGGTGGGGGCCTCTTGCACAGCAGTCGAGACTAAAGAACAAGATAACTTTTTCTTTCAATATCCACTCATAATTTTGGGAAAGAAATTTACATTGTTATTATGAGGAGCTTCAGGCATATAACTTGGAGCTATGCACAGAAGCATTATACAAATCCTAGCTAATGATTTTCTGACCAAAAATAATCATATTGGGGAAACTAACAACTTCAGACTTTATTGTGGTAAAGATAATTGCTAGAATGAAAGTCAGTGCTTGCCTGAGTATTTAGATACGGCTACATTCAGTATGTGCAAACAAGGTTGCAATCCATACTATATACACACACACGGACACTGGCTATGTCGTCTTGTTCCCAAGACATATATTTTGACTTGTTCCCCAAAAAGCTGTGGAAAATGAATGACTGAGTGAAAAGAAAAATTACATAGAAAAACTGTATCCAAGTAGGAGGAATCTGTAAAGAAGATGACATCTATAAAGAAGACAATGTCTATAAAGAAGTCAGGATGTTGTGGTCAAGAAAGAGGAGATTCAGAAAAATGCATTTCTAGTTTAGTGGGGGAGTGACTACAGCAGTCTGAAATAAATACATACAAGAATTAGAAAAAAGGCAAACCTAGCAATCATTACCAACTTACAAAGCACAGAAAAATGGATGAGAACATCAAGGAATATGCATGGTTGGTAGTTTTAGGAACAGCTAGAGTTTTCTGAATCTTAACACTATTACAGGCCTGTTATATCTAGATTTTTAAAAAAATGTTGATACAAAAAAGCAGAACTGCTTAATAAATAAATTTTTTCTATACTTGAAAGAATGCGTGATATATTTGTATCATAGAATGATGATTAAGTGCCTTCCTGGTAATTATTAAGGATATTGAACAGCTTTTCTTAGAAAGAAACATTTTAAAGTACACAGTTCTTAAAGAACTTGAATTTGAGAGTCCTAAAGGAGTTTGCATGTGTGATCTCAGGAAGCATGAAACCATATTAATTTTTAATAAAGCTTAAATAACTGCAGAAATACTGCAAGACGTGAAGGTCACCAATAAGTATTCGAATTGGACAAGTAAGAACACAGGTAATAGGCTGATTTATCCAACATCAGTCACAGACAATGCATGCTGATACAGGGTGCAATAAGGAATCACAAGATGGCAATACAGCAGTAGCAGCTGATGTGGCTTTATGGAAAAAATTGTTTAATTTCTTGTTAAATTACGACGTTGCTTATAAGGGTAATGGTGCAGATATAACATACATGGATGCTCCTCGGGTACTTTTCTGGAAAGTCAACACTGTATTCTATGAAGAAAGCTTGCTCTGCATGGGTCAGATACAGGGTGACGTAGCTCAAAAGGAATTATCGATCAGTGGCGATGCTTCTAGATGATTGTGCAGAAATCAGAAGCAGGGCTGATGCTATTTAGGATTTGTAGTAATGATTAGAAAGTCAATGTAAAATCTCTGTGAATAAAAACTGTGTATGTCTTGGAGAGCCTGGAAGAGTTATACATACCGCTGAGGACAGAGTGGTCAGAAATAGGTTCACCTACTGAAGGCTCTGATGGAGGAGAAGGAATAGCTTAGCCTGGGACAACTGGGAAGGTTACTGGCAGCTGCTTCTGTCTTATTCCAGCTTTACAAATGTCTGTGAGCTCCTAAGCACCTCCCAGCCATAACTGCATTTTTAAGGCAAACAATGACACTTTAAATTAAAATTCTGGGCTGTAAATAGTGCTGATTCCAGAGGTGATGGATGAGAAGCCCAGGCAGCTGAGGTGGGGGGCACAGTGGTCAGCTAGGGTTGGCCGGGTTGTGCTCTGGCTTACAGCTCCTGAATGGGATCATTCAGATACAGCCAAACACAAGGTCACATCTATGGGAATAAATGGTAAGGCAGCTCTGAAAGAAGCTAGGCTGCACAGTAAACAAGCAACCCAACACAAACTTCTTATATCACACTGTATCTATGAGATCTAATACCTTTCGGGTGTATTGTAAGCTAGCAAGCTGTGGAAGAATGTAACATCAGGAATAAATGTAGCTTTAATGCTGTAGAATAATAGAATCACTTAGGTTGGAAAAGATCTTTAAGATCATTGAGTCCAACCGTAAATTCTGGTGTCCTCACTGTTAAAAGATTTTAAGAAATTGAAAAGGATCAGAAAGGACGGCTCTGAAGAACTTTGGTTTTTTGCACTTCAACATCTCGGGTTCCTGCAGCACGCACTGTTCTGCAGCATCCCCTATGATTCATGTCTCAGATGCTGCTGCTCAGTTTTCACATCCTGCCACAGATGCCCTGCTCTTTTACCTGAACCACAAACCTGACCCTGTGTAGGTCAGCAGTTAAAGTTCTGTGACTCTTCCTCCTACATAGTGTGCATATGAATCCCCTCCACAGCAATGTCATCTCTTCTTTCAACCCATATAATCATCCTAAATTTCACAGTGCTGAAAAGACCCTAGTCGTCCAAGCAGAGCTTCCTTTTAAAAATTCTGTGCAACTGCATA